CCCCCAAACCATACATTGTTTGAAAGCACAGGACCGGTAGAACAAAAAGATGGTGCTACTAACTTTGTAGGCCCAGCGATAATTGCGCAAATATTTATCAAATCAATATTAAACTGATCAAATGACACAATTAAATCGAAAAAAGTACACTAAGATCAGTCTCAGAGCGTACAAAAAACACTTTTCCGACTCAGTCTAAAAGATAAAACTATATTGAGTTAATAACAAACATTTGTAAATTTTAAATTGCACCTTTTTGCCAAAGGGTAAAAAAATGAAGTAACGCAAAACTGGAAATAAGCAACTTATGCTAAAAATTTGTGTTGTGGTAATGCCTGATTTACAGTGTCATTTGTGTCCTGTGTTGGTGTGTATTGTGATAAAATGATACAGACATACATTTAATCGCAACACAGCATATAACAACGCATGGCAATGCATCACAACGCTTAAGTATTAAGTACTGCGATGTGTTCCAACAATGCACCCCAATGCATGTGCATGAAGTACACCACAATATGGTGCACACTGTTGCACATGTACGTTATGTATGTGTGGGAGGGGTTGTGCTTTATTTATTTTTCTTTTTATTCCTTAAAGTATAATTAAAGTCTTTTTTTCTTGGCATATATCTACTGTTAGCAAGCATTAGATATATGCCCCATGATAAAAAAAAAAAAGAAGAAGAAGGAGGCATATACCTAATCACTTACCTGTTCCAGCACCGCTCACGAATGGCTACGAAGGACGAAGTGTGCGGGCGCATGCGCAGCAGAGCGGAAGGGGAGAAAACACAATTACAGTGAAGGAAGAAGATGATCTCATCAAGAGGCATCAAAAAAGCTAAGTGCTTGTGGCAGCATTGGGGCGAACAGAAAGTTGAATGTCACTATTTTTATATTTTATTTTATACTGTTGGGGGCTCCAGGGAAATATCAGGGGTTTAAAACAGACCCCTAACGTTTCCCTTTTGAAATAGAAAGAGATTGAGGACACATAGTCCTTAATCACTTTTTTTCTGCCGCTCCAGTACTCAATGAACAGTGATGCAAGAACTTCCTGTTCATTCATAACTGGGGACATCGCTTACTTTGTGCTTAATCATTTACAAACACGAGTGAACACTACTGATCACTGGTGTTTGTTCTGCACACAGAAGATCAGCAAATATTTCACATATTTGCTGATCCTCCACTCGGCATCCTGAACCACTCTGCCCGCACAGCCCCGCTCTCCATCCCGACAGTGGCTTCTTTCCTCCCCATTCAGCATCCTGACTGTCACCACTCCCTCCTCCGCTGGCTGCAGCGGTCGGTGTCCCCTCCAATCCCCGCTGCCTCTGCCGATACAGGGAGTGCCGAGCAGCGGGAATCAGATAAATAGCTTGTCACCTGCTGATGACAGCTATTTATTTACAGAGTAGAGCGAGCTAGGGGCACCCTTCTGTTATTGGTTCATGGTCTCTTATAGACGAAGGGTGAAAGCCAGCGACTTAAGCCATACTGACATGGCCAGCTGGAAAACGGTTGTGTTTGAACATATGTCGTTGGCAAGGAAAGGGTTAACAACCTTCTGATCTCACTGTTTACATGCTTATGGCTTAGGGTTCACTCACTTACACTAGTTCTGAATGTGCATTTTGGGATTCCTGCGGCAGGATCCTTCGAATACCTGAGACAGGAATCCTAAGTATACCTTTAGAAGCGACTGTCTCTCACCTGTTAAAGTTAAATGATTGGAGGACAGCAGCGGCATTTGAAAGCGTCAGTGAGCCAGCACTCTATCGTGTGTTCAGGGATAGTGATCTATTCCTAATCAAATATAAATCATATCACGCAGGGTCCCCTTCATCAGGCTTAGGAATGTCATTCCTAAGCCTGATGAAGGGGACCCTGTGCGGCCCCGAAAGCGCTTGCACTTGGATGACGATTGTCTGCCATTATATAGACTAAATTCCCTTTATTACTGGTGACGTTCTTGGATTTAATGAACACTGCACATGTGCAAACGAAAATCTGTTCTGTCAATCGATGAAATTCAGTCAGTTAGTATTGATAAGGAACGATAATCAAAATCTACATTGGTCTGTGCATGATGGAGTATTTGAGCGGAACATGGACGACGGTTCGATGAGGGCACAAAAGAAATCAAACGATAATCGCAAGGTGTATGGGCACCTTAAGGCTCTGTGCCAAGATGAAGCGACTCTTGTGCGCATGTGTGGGAATAAAGAGGCCAAAGACTCCAAACCCAGGAGAAGATGGGAGCACGAACAGCAGAGCGCTGTTGATGATCACTTGCAAGGTAATTCAATCATAATATACTAATATGCTGTGATATCCAGCATATTATGGCAAACAGCTCCTGGGGCCCAAAGACTTCTTATTGCGGTGGCAGTTTACTTCCAACTCCAGGATGAATTAACCACCACTAATAGAAGATCTGCAGATAATTGTAAGGTGTGTGGCCAGCTTAAGTGCATGGATCCCCTGCTGATCGGAGCAGTATTGATCAGATGTCACTGCTGTGACATCCATGTATTTTTATTTAAAAAAACTGAGCTTACTGGATCCATGTTGGTCTATGGGGAGTCAAATGAAACCAGAAATGTGTCCGTTTACATCAGATTACCCCCGAGCCGTCACAATCAGGTCCACCAAAATGGAACTCCGTTCCGTTTTCCTGATCTTGACGGATTTGGGGGCAATCAGATGTAAATGGATGCACGTCCATTTAGATCTGGCTTACCATAGACTAACATTGGCCTTCCAATCAGAACAGGTGAGCCTGATCGGACAGCCGGTGTGAATGGGGCCCTTTTCCACTCACCTTAAGCTGCAGTCACGTGGTGATCCAGCTCCTCTGTTTACTTCCTGTTGGGGTCCATGTCACTGCTTGTGTGACATGAACAATTCTTATTGGCTGTCCAGCAGAGGTGTCCTCTCAAGATCCAGAGGACTACTGACATCGACCCGAGGAAAGGCAATGGTTACTGTATGGCGCTGGAAACGGTGTCAGTGGGGGACATGGAGGGAGGGACTCGAGAATGTAATTTGCTTCCCAGGTAAGAAAAATAAACTCCTGGATAGTATTTGAGTGGAGTTGGGCTTTAAGTTCCACTTCCGGCCTGACAACACAATACAAATGGTTTATTCCCTCCAGCGTTGTCAGGCCCCCGGAAGCTGTTTTGCCATATACCTTGTGCGGTTCCCTCACTGCGCAGATCTGACAGAGCGATGCTCGACGTCTCCTCCCGCCATGGCTGCCAAGACAGAACCGAGGTCAGTAAGGGGTCAGGGTGTTAGTGCCGGCCTTTGTTCACCGGGATGGAGAACATGACGAGCAGGTAATGGTCACATGACGCACAGGTAAACAAAGAATACATTTTGATAGCAATTCTAAAAATGAATACAACCCTCAGGAGTGTATCAAAGCAATATTAAAGGATTATTCAGGACGATGCATATGGGCTGACTTTGCATCTCACACTTCAAATGAATGAGCACATTGAATGCAGAGTGGGCCGTACATTGAACAGGCCACCAGGCAATGTGATCAGACATCACCCAGACACATCATGCGTCATGCAGTCACAGGGCTGACAGGCCTCAGTAAGGGGGGAGGTCATAACAGAGGCGGCTACACAGCACACAATCACCGTCCGCCCACTCCACTCACCGCTTCACCACGCCGGTCTTGATCTTCATCTGCCTCAGCCTCGGGTCAGCCATCTTACCGGAGAAGTCTACACAAAGGCACACGAGACGCCGTCACCAGCGAGACCACGGAGAGTGCGCAGTTACTGGCGAGGAGAAGGAGGGTGGCGGCGGTGGGAGAGTGTGTGAAGAGTGCGCATGCGCGGCCTGTGGACAGAGCTCTGCGGTGAGGATGGGTGGAGATTGTTGGTGTCCTAGCACCAGGCGCTGCATCACAACAAAGCAGATTTGAACACATATTGCGAGCGGGAGAGGTTTAATTTTACTGTAGAACAGAAATAACTATATGCGGGGAATTCAATAAAGCACGCATGACTCTTCTCTGTCCCTACAAGGCCCAATTCCATGATTGTCATGAATTGCAGTGTGTGTACTCGGCCCTCCCTCAGACATCATCTCTTTGGGTTATATGGGGCACATGTGCCACCCACTTTCCGGCCAGAGCAGCCCAGGTTCTAAGCGCTATTAGCAACTTGTGACCACAGTCTTGTGTTCTGTCCAGGACTCCAGGTGGCCAAGTACCCCTCGAGACCTCGCCATCTCATGACGTCACGTCCGTTGTAAATTTGGTGCTACTGTGCCAGCTGTCACAGTTTCTGCAATCCTTGATTTCTCCAGTTGCCATAGGTGCGCCTGTGTGGCTTCTAAATTGTCATCGAGTTCTCCAACTCCCGTCAGAGCTTGATACTTCACGCAGGCGCACTGACAGGAGTTGGAGATCTCAGCGAGTTGGAGAATTCGATCGAACACCTGCTTTCCGCCCAGCTCCTGTCAACCAGTGATGTCAGGACGCTGGAGTCAGAGGTAACGCGCAGCACCCTCCCGATATGGTTCCAGAACTGCTATCCATACAGCCTTTGGCACCGATAAGTCTAGCGGGGCACTCCTGTGTGTAATCCAATGATCACACCTGTACGCAGTTTGTGTCCAGGTTCAGCCGTCCACTCAAAGGCTGTTCAAGTACTTACAAACCGAAAGCCGTGCCACGGTTTCAGGTAGTTCTTACCTCCATTTTTTTTTTCTTGAAGCTCCATAATGTGTGCTTCATAAACGAAAACCCCTGTGAACAGTGAAATCACAGCACACAAAAAAGTGCACAAGGGTGGTTTGGTCCTCTTTCGAAAAAGTGAGCCACGATATCCCTGAACCCCCCCAGACGCAAGGCTCCTGACAGGGACAAGGCACTCTAGTCAACCTGGCGGACCCCTCTCCTTAGGGATCAGCCGAAACCTGTCCTCCAAATACTAGGTAGAGGCTCTCCCAAAGAGAGACCCCTGAGTGGGAGAGGAAAAAGACCCATTAAAGCCACAGATCCTCCCCCCAAAAGACCAGTACCCTCCATCTCTGTGAAGTGAAAAATTGCATTTGTGCATAAATAAGTGCTATAAAAAAGTGCAAAACACTAGCAGGCCTTCCGGGCCGATAAAAATAATTACCCCAGGCTAGCCAAAAGGCATGCCTGGGGTAGAGGCGAATGTGAGTAAAGCAAAAAAAGTGACATGACCAAGTGCCAGTGCCACACTTGTGGGGTCCCACACCCGCCTGTGTTTCTCCGGCACCCCTGAGACGCTAACCCCATGGGGTTCATCACCCGGATCTTCTCACGCCCTTCGGCCAGACAAGGGCAGCCCCACTCCTACCAGAAGGCGTTAGCACCAGAGGGGTTCCTGCCTACAACTGGGGACGAACCTGGCATTACCAGGTCAGAATCAACCCAGGAGAAAAAAGAAACCCCTCCGGAAACCACCTATTACTCTGCAGAATGCTAGGAAACTATGGAAACGTGCCGGTGGATGGTGCTGTTCTTCTCTGAAAACTGATAAGAACAACTTTAAAAAAAAAAATTATTCTTCTATTTAAAATTCCATAACAAGGTAACCTCTGGATTACAATCCACGCAGGGACTAGTTCATCCAAAAAACAACAAAATAATTCACAATGGCACAAAAACATATTAACGTCCCAAAAAGGAACAACGATTTGTTTAAAATAACTTGACACAAGAGCATATTCCATCATTCAGAATGCACATCTCCCACCATAGGACAAAAATGCACATGCAAATAAAATACACAACCCCCCCCCCTCCCCTCCAAAAAAAAAACACCATCACCACCCACACCCAAAAAATTGCTTGAAGTCAACATTCACCTACCCAATGGTCTTTCCAAAAACCTAATGGATGTAGAAAAAGACAAGGATCAGTTAATCCATTCCTTCCATCTGTTGAGCTTCCACCACTCTTCTATCTTACCATCTCCCCATTTCCTCTGATCGCACCAAACATATAAAAAGAGTCTTCCCCCGGACCATCGTCACACACTCCCTCACTTCAACCAACTGTTTTTTAAACACAAGCAAATTCCTAATGTCCCACAGACTTTCCTTAACACAACATACCAACAACCACAACAATCTCAACCTTACTCTCCCTAACTTTCATACGCCATACATCATCATCTCAAACGTTAACCCTTTCCCTCCTATCAAACCTTCAATCAATTTTGCCATACCCCTCCACCCTCCTCTTGCATACCCACACTCCCACAACACAACACTTTCGTCCCCACCACAATCCAGCCTCGGACACACTGCACTACCAACCTTCTATGTTGAAAAGCTCTGGTTGGCAGACACCAATGTGCTGCCAACCAAGCCACATCTTTCTGCCAATTCATCAACTCCACCATCGCCATATTCCTCCACGTTACCTCACACTGTACCATCGTCAATCCACCAACCCTCACCATCTCTTCCTTTTCTCTCAACCCATCCATCACCTTTCGACTCTGACACCACATCCCCATCTATTGCTTCCAAACCATACTTCCTCGCAATCTTCTCAACCATCCCATAAAACCACGGTTCATGAAAACACACCGGTCTACCTAAATCCCAACTGTACTTTAAGATCCTTCGCAACACAAAACCTCCAGCATACATCCTGTCACCTCCCCACCCCTACTTACCTTGGCACACATACTCACATACTTAATCTTCAAAAATCTCTCAACCTCAGGCATTACTTTCCCACCATTCAACTTTTCTTTCACAACTGTCATACGGTTCAGCTTCTCAAAACGCGAGGACCACAGAAAGGAAAAACATGATTTACTTTAACATCCTGTCAGAGGCAGGGAACACCAAATAAGTAAACAATAATATCAGCAAAATAACCGATTTTACGATTAAAACCCTACCTACCCTCCATGGTCAAACTCCTCAACCCCCAAAACTGAAACTTCTTCACTACTCTCTCCTCCACCTCCTTCCATCCGTCACCACCATCCAAAGCCTCATCAAATTTAATCCCCAACACTCTTATACTACCCACACACAATTTCCAATCACATCTCCCAATCTCACCCCAATTCCTGGAAAACTTGCATGCACTTTTATCCACATTAACATAAAAACCACTCGCCAAACAAAACACCTCAACCAACAACTTTACTCTCCTCAACCCCATCACATTTTTACACACCACCGTGACATCATCCATGTACCCTAACACTTTCAAACACCTACCCCCACTTCCTGGTACTTCAATTCCTCGCTCCACCTTATCTCTCTTCAACATTCGCAACAAAGGCTCAATCACGCAAACAAAAAGCACAGGGGACAGAGGACTCCCCTGCCTAACACCCAAAGGCACCCAAACCTCCTCTGTCAAAAACCCATTCACCAAAACCTTACCAACCATACCTGCATATAAACATTTCACCCATCCCAACATTCTTTCCGGCAAACCCATTTTTCTCAACACACTAAACAAAAACTCATGCACCACCCTATCATAAGCCTTCTCAAAATCTAATGTAACAACTGCCACACTCTGCTTCAATTCTCTACTATACCACAACGCATCTCTGAAACCAATCAAACTTTCTCCAATCATCCTGCCTGGCACCACACAAACCTGCTCAACCTCAACCATCCTACCAACCACCACTATCAATCTATCAGCAATCACTTTAGCAACCACCTTATAATCCACATTCATCAAAGTAATCGGCCGCCAGTTCCTCTTATCCCTCTTCTCCCCCTTCTTATAAAAATATGTAATCACACCTTCATGCATACTTTGCGATAATCTTGCCCCATTTAACACCACCTCACACACCCTAAACAAACACTCCCCTATCACCTCCCAAAACACACAATAATACTCCACTGACAATCCGTCTCCCCCCGGCATTTTTCATTTTTTTAATCCTCTCACAACTCGTTCAACCTCACTCATCATCACATCTGCACACAACACCCCCTTCTCTTCTTTACTTAACGCAACATCAATCACCTCTAACACCTCCCTCTCCACACTCGCATCCCTTTTCTTCTCAGTATACAACAACTTATAAAAGTTCCAGACCTCATGCTTCCCCTTCACCTCACATCCCCTGTCATCCAACACACCCAGCAAATCATCCCTCTTACTAAACACCTTCTTGAAGAAGAATTTGGAACACTTTTCATCCTCCTCCTTCACAACAGTCCTTGTTCGGATCACAATTTTCCTTCCCTCTGCTTTCAAAAATGTTCTCAATTTCTCTTTCGCCTCCACCGGCTCCCCACTCACATCCTCACCATACTTCCTCAACTCCTCCAAATACTCCAGTCTAACTTGCCAAATCTTTCATACCCTTCACGCTCAGCTCTCACTCTCTCCACACCTTTCCGAATAAAAAATGCTTTCATTTTTACCTTCACCCACTCCCACCATTCTACCACACTCTCAAAATCATACATCTTCCACCTCAAGAAACAAACCAGATATTCACCTTTCACACTCTTATCTCCCAACAAATCAACATTTAGTTTACACACACCCCGCCCATGCATCTCATTCGCCTTCACTCGTACCTCACATTCCAGCCTACCATGGTCCGTGAAAGACTCCCTCGTAATTGTGAATTTATCCCACTCCAAGTTCCTAGAAAAGAAAATCAATTCGGGATTGCACAGTCCCTCTATCACTCAGGTAGGTGAAACCGCCCTCTTTTCCTACATCCACCAAGTCAAAAGTTCTAAAATGATCAAGTAACATCCTCCCAGAACTATCCACTCCACCACTCCTA